CTCATCCACCTTACCAACCGCTCCGGTTCTGCCACCCCCCTCTGTCATTCCCTCCACTGGCTCCCGATTGCCCAACGCATTAAATTCAAACTACTAACACTGACATACAAAACCATTCATAACGCTGCCCCGAACTACCTCACCGACCTGATACCCAAATACCACCCAACCCGTAATCTTCGCTCCTCACAAGACCTCCTACTTTCTAGCTCCCTGGTCTCCACCTCCAACGCCCGACTGCAGGACTTCTCCAGGACTTCCCCCATCCTCTGGAACTCACTACCCCAATCCATCAGACTTTCACCTACCCTCCTCACCTTTAGGCACACCCTGTAAACCCATCCTACCTACCCCCACCCTCACTTAACAGCCGATCTCCTCCACTCCTCCTACCACTCCATCCCCCACAGCCACATCCTCCTGTACCACTATCCCCTCCCTCCTAGATTGTAAACTCAAAAGAGTAGGGCCCTCGAACCCCTCGTGTGCTGTTTTGTTACTGTATTGTCTCATGTACTGTCCCCCACTATTTTGTAAAGCGCTGAGCAAACCTTTTGGCGCTATATAAATAATGTATACTGTATACAAGAGGGATAGGAGGGCCTGATCCTGGGAGCTTACAATCTAGGAAATATTGATATATAGTAATTAGTAGCACTGTCTTTCCTAGATGAAGGACTTGTTTATAAGATTGCACAGAAATTGTAAAATCAGATTTTGACATGTATGGCCAGATTTAGACCAAAAAAAAAAAGAAAGGCTAAAAAGGAAGAGCGAGTGTACCCTTCGCTCCCACACTCACTATTCCATTCACAGACGTTGACACGTGGCTTTCTGGCGTGTTATAAATACCTGTCCTCTCTGTGCTGTACAGACAGGAAGCTTCACAATAAAGGTTCTTAAAACAGGATTAAAAATGCGATGTAAAGTGGAAATATGGATTAAATATATTCAACTGTTTTCTAATAAACACGAGATTTGAAGGAATATGGAAGGGATGTGTCCTCTCTATTCAATACAGAGTCATCACAGTACAGTTTCGAACAGACCACCCGCGTGGCACAGATCATCGCTGTGATTTTCTCGGGATTACACGCGGTTTTCCTACCTGCATATTTGGCATATCTGACACAAACCCTGCATTAGTCGTACACCGATAAACACGAGTAAGTCAGTGATTGTTGTACTGGAGTTAGTGCATTGTAATATCTACAATGATATTTAAAGCCAGATACCAAAAAAAAAAAGAACGTTCAGGACTTTTCCAAACAAAAACTCGCCTCATTTGTAGAGCTGTCCCCTGCGGACTCATCTCTCCAAGATCCAGCATGAGCTCTTTTTTTAAGTTTTATGTCTAGTGTCATTCACCCCACTTCCTGGGAGCCCAGGGCGTCATGGACACGCCCCCTGTGGGTGCAGTATTGAGCTGCTTTGCACTCACAGGTGCACCGAATTCTCCAGGTTTATTAAATCAACCCCATTGTGCGGAGGACAGAAGAGGAAGGCTATGTTCACAAAGACATTACATTTAGGGCTTGTTCACACATATAAGGTAAAACACAGTGAGTGCTCCCGATGCAGCAGTTATAGCACTAAGGTAACCAGAAAAAACCTCTGCAAAAAATGTAAACAAGGAGTGCAGTGCTTAAAATGCAAATAAAGGCTAAACCAATAAAATGTAAAGATGACAAATAAAAGAAAAATGGATAAAAATAAATTAAATAAAGTAAATAAACAGTCCATAAAAGTTCATATATTGATAGTGGTGATAAAGGGTCCCAACCGCGGTAATAGCCATGTGCTTGTGCTTTGAAGGTATAGTAAAAATGCGCACTCACCAGATGCGCATTGAATATGCGCATATAAATATATCCAACAGGTTCCACTTTAGGGAACGGGATATGCCGGGCGTGTGGTAAACCTCCTTCAGGGTGTTAAACAGCACAGCAGAAACTCTTGGGCTGGGTAAGTGGTCAGCTCATCCAGAGGTCCCCTTTAAGGATGGATGGGGTCTGTGTTACAGGGATTCCCTCCTCTGGGTGCTTGATATGGGCCAGGCTCTGTAATTCAATAGCTCCATAAAGGAGCCAAACAAAAGGTGCCCATAGTGTAGAATTTTTTAAAAAGGTAGTGTTTATTCTATGGAAATAGGTTTAAAATAAATATATGTGACAGTAATTCAGAGTTAACGCAGCACTGACCAAAAACAAAGATGGCCGCCGGACCTTCACAACGCTCCGGCGGCGTGACGCCACGGCGTGTTGGCTCCTCCTAAAGCTTTTCGTGCCACGCACGTTGTCAGAGGGGAGACCAACCTTGATCAGGTGTGCCTGTCAGTTTTTCAGGTGGACCTAATTGGATCACATTTGCAAAGTAAAATTTGTAAGCAGCACTCACATTAGGGAAAAGTTAAAATGGCTGCTGGCCTTCCATGCAGCCATCTGCGGCGTGACGTCACTATGGCAGGCTCCTCCCTAAGGGACAAATTTTAATCTGAAAATGTGATTTTCTTCAATTCAATAAAAATACTACACTATGAGTACCTCGCTGTCTTTGGCTTGGTATCAACGAGCCTCCAAGGTGGAGAGATCGTTACTTCTTTGAGGAGTTTATCCGGTGGGCTGAGGTTTACCTGGAGCTGTCCCTGGATGCTGAGAGGGTCCTGTGAGTGAGATTGGAGTTGCCTTGTATGCTGACGGTGTGCCAGATGATTCCACCATTCTTGCCTGTACCCTGATGACCACAATGGGATAATATATACATATGCGCAATAAATTTGCAATTCTGGTGAGTGCACATTATTGGTTTCCATCACAGATATCACCAGCACGGATCACTTGGAATTTTGGACTTTTTTATCTTGCTGATTTTATGTAAATATTCATTATACACTTATAGTCACTTTATGTTTATATTTATTTATTTATTATCACGTTCACATGCATCATTACATGACGGTTCACTATATGCATAATAATGACTATTAAGAGCCCACGCTAGATTTATCTTGGTTTTTTCTCAGCGCTGCATTTTGTATTTATGATTGTTTAGAGGGTAAGAGGTTTCACCTTTAATGCCAGCAGCTATATAACCAATGCGCTCACTTTTACCTCTTACAGTTGCAAGAAAAAGTATGTGAACCCCTTGGGATTACGTGGAGTTTTGCATGAATTGGGCATAAAATGTGCTCTGAACGTCATCTAAGTCACAACAATAGAAGAACACAGTCTGCTGAACATAATACTACACAAACATTAGATGTTGCCATGGTTTAATTGCACATAACAGGTAAACATTCACAGTGCAGGGAGGAAAAAGTATGTGAGGCCCTAGCTTAATGACTTCTCCCAGAGCTAATTGGAGCCAGGAGTGAGCCAACCTTGACTCCAATCAGTGTGATGATATTGGATGTGTTGCTGACAGCTGTCCCGCCCTTAAAAAACACACACCTGTTTTGGGTTTACTGGTTTCAAGAAGCACTGTCTGATGTGAACCATGCCTCGCAGAAAAGAGCTCTCAGAAGACCTACGAGCAAGAATTGTTGATTTGCATGAAGCTGGAAAGGGTTACAAAAGTATCTCCAAAAGCCTTGATGTTCATGTGTCCACGGTAAGACAGACTGTCTACAAATGGAGAAAGTTTAGCACTGTTGCTACTCTCCCTAGGCGTGGTCGTCCTGTAAAAATGACTGCAAGAGCACAGCGCAGAATGCTGCATGAGGTAAAGAAGAATCCCAGAGTGTCAGCTAAAGACCTACAGAAATCTCTGGCACATGCTAACATTTTTTGTTGACACATCTACAATAAGGAAAACATTAAACAAGAATGGAGTACATGGGAGGACACCACGGAGGAAGCCATTGCTGTCCAAAAAGAATATTGCAGCACGTTTGAAGTTTGCAAAAGAGCACCTGGATGTTCCACAGCACTACTGGCAAAATATACTGTGGACAGATGAAACCAAGATTGAGTTGTTTGGGAAGAACACACAACCCTATGTGTGGAGAAAAAAAGGCACAGCACACCAACATCAAAACCTCATCCCCACTGTGTGAAACATGGCGGAGGGAGCATCATGGTTTGGGGCTGCTTTGCTGCCTCAGGGCCTCGATGGATTGTTGTCATTGATGGGAAAATGAATTCCAGAGTTTATCAAGACATTTTGCAGGAAAATGTACGACCATCTGTCCGCCAACTGAAGCTCCGCAGAGGATGGGTGATGCAACAGGACAATGACCCAAAGTATACAAGTAATTCAACAAAACAATGGCTGCAACAGCACAGAATACGCCTTCTGGAGTGGCCCATTTAGAGTCCTGACCTCAACCTGATTGAAATGCTGTGGCATGACCTTAAGAGAGCGATTCACACCAGACATCCCAAGAATATTGCTACACTGAAACAGTTTTGTGAAGAGGAGTGGTCCAAAATGACTCCAGATCGTTGTGCAGGTCTGATCTTCAACTACAGCAGGCATGTCCAAAGTCCGGCCCGCGTTCCGGACTGAAACGGCCCCACAGGTGAGCTACCCAAATATATAACTTACAGCCCCCGGTAGTGATTCCCTGAAAGCTACTGAGGACTCCAGCGATCTCTTGACATCATCAGCTGGCGCAGGAAGGAGAGCCCAAATCTCGTGACGTCCGAGATCTCGTGAGATTTGGGCTTTCCTTCTCTGTGTGCCGGCTGATGACGTCAATTCCCGCTCGACAGATCCCTGGAGTCCTCAGTGGCGTTCGCAGAATCGCTAGTGGAGGGCCGTAAGTTATATATTGGGCAGCTCATCTGTGGGGTCCGGAACGTGGGCCGAGGGATCCCAGGTGGTGCGCAGGGAATTACTACTGGGGCTACCATTTACCGTATTTTTCGCTCCATAAGACGCACTTTTTTGCCCCAAAAAAATGTCAGTGGAAAATGTCAGTGCGTCTTATGGAGCGAATATAAAGCGGCCGGTCCGGTATTTCTGCCGCCACCATGTCAGAATACCGGGCCGGCCGCTCAGCTGTTGTCTCCTGCAGGGCCTTACCTGTTCCTCGCTCCAGCGCTGTACAGTCTTCCCGCGCTGGCTTCTGTGACAGCCGGGTGCCCACTGCGCATGCGCTTGGCTTTGTGAATGGTCATCGCAGTCTCTGGTCATCTGTACTGTGTCCGCAGTCTCTGGTCATCTCCTGTACTGTGTCCGCAGTCTCTGGTCATCTCCTGTACTGTGTCTGCAGTCTCTGGTCATCTCCTGTACTGTGTCCGCAGTCTCTGGTCATCTCCTCTACTGTGTCCGCAGTCTCTGGTCATCTCCTGTACTGTGTCCGCAGTCTCTGGTCATCTCCTGTACTGTGTCCGCAGTCTCTGGTCATCTCCTTTACTGTCCACAGTCTCTGGTCATCTCCTGTACTGTCTGCAGTCTCTGGTCATCTCCTGTACTGTGTCCGCAGTCTCTGGTCATCTCCTGTACTGTCTGCAGTCTCTGATCATCTCCTGTACTGTGTCCGCAGTCTCTGGTCATCTCCTGTACTGTCTGCAGTCTCTGATCATCTCCTGTACTGTGTCCGCAGTCTCTGGTCATCTCCTGTACTGTCTGCAGTCTCTGATCATCTCCTGTACTATGTCCGCAGTCTCTGGTCATCCCCTGTACTATGTCCGCAGTCTCTGGTCATCTCCTGTACTGTGTCCGCAGTCTCTGGTCATCTCCTGTACTGTGTCCGCAGTCTCTGGTCATCTCCTGTACTGTGTCCGCAGTCTCTGGTCATCTCCTGTACTATGTCCGCAGTCTCTGGTCATCTCCTGTACTGTGTCCGCAGTCTCTGGTCATCTCCTGTACTGTGTCCGCAGTCTCTGGTCATCTCCTGTACTGTGTCCGCAGTCTCTGGTCATCTCCTGTACTATGTCCGCAGTCTCTGGTCATCTCCTGTACTGTGTCCGCAGTCTCTGGTCATCTCCTGTACTGTGTCCGCAGTCTCTGGTCATCTCCCGTACTGTGTCCGCAGTCTCTGGTCATCTCCTTTACTGTCCTCAGTCTCTGGTCATCTCCTGTACTGTCTGCAGTCTCTGATCATCTCCTGTACTGTGTCCGCAGTCTCTGGTCATCTCCTTTACTGTCCGCAGTCTCTGGTCATCTCCTGTACTGTCTGCAGTCTCTGATCATCTCCTGTACTGTGTCCGCAGTCTCTGGTCATCTCCTGTACTATGTCTGCAGTCCATTGGTTCAGAATTTTTTTTTTCCTGTTTTTCGCCTCTAAAACCTAGGTGCGTCTTATGGTCAGGTGCGTCTTATGGAGCGAAAAATACGGTATCAATTTGGGCTATAATGGATTGGTGCTCAGGATCGCTTGACGTCATCAGACAGTGCAAGGAGAAACAAAGCCCAAATCTCGCGACCTCCGAGATCTCGCGAGATTTGGGCTTTCCTTCTCCCTGTGCTGGCAGAGTGATTTAACACCTGTTTAGATTTGTCATCCAAGTCACAAAATGAAAAGTATGCCGTTTTCAATAAACTTTTGCATAAAATAGTTCATTTGCATTTAATTTTAATGGTTCATCAGAATGTCGGGCAAAATGGTGGTCGGCCCTCGCACATGTTCACTTCATCAAATCTGGCACTCTTCCAAAAAAGTTTGGACACCCCTGAACTACAGGAAACGTTTGGTTGAGGTTATTGCTGCCAAAGGACTGTCAACCAGTTATTAAGTCCAAAGCTTCACAGACTTTTTCCTCCCTGCACTGTGAATGTTTACATGTTATGTGCAATTAAACCATGGCAACATCTAATGTTTGTGTAGTATTATGTTCAGCAGACTGTGTTCTTCTATTGTTGTGACTTAGATGACATTCAGAGCACATTTTATGCCCAATTCATGCAAAACTCCACGTAATCCCAAGGGGTTCACATACTTTTTCTTGCAACTGTATATACATGAGGACAGCTGAGAACTGATTGGAGGGAAGGGACATACCCACCTCCACACAGCACATAAGAACAGAGCTGAGGCTTTCAGTAACAGGCTGTGTGCTGGAGCTCCCTCCCCTGTCATCTTTTTTCTCTTGGTGTCAGGAAAGCTAATAGCAGAGGAAGGAGGCAGCAGACAGAAATGACACTTAGTGCTCTGGATTGAGACAAGTACACACTATAGAGGGATATGCTTTGTTCATATTTCATGTCTGAGGTTTACAACCACTTTAACTTCTTCCCGTCCAGCCTATGTCGATAAACAGCCGGACGGGAGTGCTGCCGATGCAGGTGGACTTTTCTAAACTTCCCCCCGTATCCATTGCCTGTGCAACATTGCCTGTACAACACGCAGCATCGCGATCAGTGCGGAACACAGATCGCTGTATGGGACCTCTGTATGAGGTCCCGATTCATGTGATCAGTGATTAGCCAATCAGTGATCACATCAACAGTAGTAAACAAGATGTCACTTCCTGACATCATTGCTTACTACTTGTGAATGATCACAAAGGTCAGATGGTACAAGACTACTCACAACAGCCTTGTACCATGTGACAAGCTGTGACCAATCACAGCTCTCACAGTATTTCTCAATGGCTGCAGGAATGAAGCCAGAGAGAAGGAGAAATGATTGCTTTTACAGCCTTTATGGGTGTAAAAGCAATCAGTGTAAAAAAAAAAAAAAAAAAACCTTCATCAACCCCCAAAAGTAGAACAGTGTCACTAAGGTGACACTGTACTGCTAAAGTGACAGTATGTAAAAAAAAACATAAATAATAATATAAAAAAATAAAATAAAACATTTTTTGAAAAATTTATAATTTGTGGTTATAAACTAATTTGGATTTTTTTTTGGTTTTGTTTTTTAAAAAGATAACTGAATACATTTTGGCCAAGATTTATGAATAAAGATTATTTATTTGCAGCACATTTTTTTTTCAAAATGTTTGGAATTTTTCATTTAGATAGCAAAAAAATAAAAATCCCAGTGGTGAATAAATACCACCAAAATAAAGTTTTATCTGTCGCAAAAAAATGCTAAAAAATTAATTTGGGTACAGTGTCGCATGACCGCGCAATTGTCAAAGTGCGACAGCGCTGAAAGCTGAAAATTGGTCTGGACAGGAAGGGGGTGAAAGTGTCCGGACTTGAAGTGGCTAAAAGTATCATTTTCTATTTCGCTTAAAAAAAAACCCCCAAAAAAGTAAAAACTCAGGGTGGTTGAAGAGTGTAACTTGATGCAACTTGAACACCTGTGCAAAACACTATAGCTGCATTAAAGCGCAGCAAAGCCTGCTTTAACCTCTTCCAGCCTGCACCTGCCGGCTCTTTAAAGCGGAGTTCCACTCACCCTGTCAAAAAATAAAAGTCAGCATCTAAAAAACTGTAGCTGCTGACTTTTAAAAAACACACACTTACCTGTCCCTCGGTCCCGTGGTGCGTCCCCTGCAGCCCGTTTCACCGGCCGTCCTGTATTCCTGGAGGCCGGCATCTTCAGTGTGGGCGCACAGCTGTGATAGCTTGCGGCTTCACAGTCGGGTACCCACTGCGCATGCGAGCGTAGTGCTGCACTTCATGAATGGTCCTGTAGTTTTCTGTGACCTGTCACATGTCCCAAAAGACTACAGGGAGGGAGGGAGGACACCGTCCGTTGATCGGACTGGAAGTGGGAGCGGGTACCTGTCAAATTCGGGTACCTGCCCCCTCCCCCCAAAGGTGCCAATCCTTAATAGGGAGCGGGGGAGCAGTCCTTAAAGCGGAACTTCCCCTTTTGGGTAGAGCTCCGCTTTAAGACTTTTTTAGATGCTGGGAGGCAGACATTTCGGTCATGTGACCGCTGTAATTGGCTGTCACAGCAGTCACATGATCGGAAAACTCCTGGTCGCAAGCAGAGATTGGGTGCTTTCCGGTGCCCACTGGTAACTGTGCTGGGAGCGTGCTCTCAGCGCAGCAATGTTTACATTTTGGTACGGAAGAGGTTAAAGGCTCGTTCACATGTAAACATCCTGCTAGTGGGATACATATTCTATAACTGCCATTTTCAGCAGGCTTTTACATGGAACTGCAGCCTCTTGTCACGTTATTCTGTGTTATCATTATTATTATTATTATACAGGATTTATATATTATTATTATTATACAGGATTTATATATTATTATTATTATTATACAGGATTTATATATTATTATTATTATTATACAAGATTTTATATATTATTATTATTATTATACAGGATTTATATATTATTATTATTATACAGGATTTATATATTATTATTATTATACAGGATTTTATATATTATTATTATTATACAGGATTTATATAGGATTTATTATACAGGATTTTATTATTATTATTATACAGGATTTATATATTATTATTATTATTATACAAGATTTATATATTATTATTATACAGGATTTATATATTATTATTATACAGGATTTATATATTATTATTATTATTATACAAGATTTATATATTATTATACAGGATTTATATATTATTATTATACAGGATTTTATATATTATTATTATTATTATACAGGATTTATATATTATTATTATTATACAGGATTTATATATTATTATTATTATACAGGATTTATATATATTATTATTATTATACAGGATTTATATATTATTATTATTATACAGGATTTATATATTATTATTATTATTATACAAGATTTATATATTATTATTATACAGGATTTATATATATTATTATTATACAGGATTTATATATTATTATTATTATTATACAAGATTTATATATTATTATACAGGATTTATATATTATTATTATACAGGATTTATATATTATTATTATTATTATACAGGATTTATTTAGCGCCAACAGTTTGCTCAGCGCTTTACAATATAACGGGAGACAATAGAGCAACAATACAGTTCAATACAAGAGGGTTAGGAGGGCCCTGATCCTGGGAGCTTACAATCTAAGAGGCGTTGTTCAACTCCTTGTGTAAAGTTGGAGAAAGGCCGGGAAACCAAACACGGTGGATAACAATGGATTTAGTCTCTTCCTAAAGGCCTGGAGTAACTCTTAAACCAACGTGACACCCATCATAACGAGAATATTCCAACATCATTTATACGTGGAGGGTTTTAAATCATTCATGCTGTCGGGTAATGTTTACAGATTTCATAGATTAAAATGACGTAAGTCACATATACAATGGAAAGGAAAATGGAAAACTGGATGCCTTGGCTCTACCAGGAACAGACAAAAGCAAACATGCAATTAGCCCTAATTCAGATTCTGAAGAGTGTGTCAAGAGGCTTGTCTACATAATGAGATGGAACGCGGTGCTCGGATGGACAGGGATTTGCATCACACCATAGTCATCTGGAATGTGTCTGTGTGTTTATCCATAGGGGGAGATTTACTAACACTGGAGCACTCGGAATCTGGTGCAGCTGTACATGGGAGCCAATCAGCTTCTAACTTCAGCTTGTTCAATGAAGCGTTCACAATAAAACCTGGAAGCTGATTGGTTTCTATGCAGAGCTGCACCAGATTTTGCACTCTCGAGTTTTAGTAAATTCCCCCGTAGGGGGAGATTTACTAACACTGGAGCACTCGGAATCTGGTGCAGCT